CACAAACTGTAAAAACGTAGGGGTCAAACCCGTTTTTACAGATCTGTCAACATACTGCAGTAGGCGCTACTTTGGTTATTTGACAAGATCCTGTCAACATACTGCTGGAGGCCGACACTCTGGTTATCTGACAAGATCCTGTCAACATACTGATGGAGGCCGATACTCAGGTTTTCTGACAAGATCCTGTCAACATACTGTAGTAGGCCAATACACTGGTTATCTGACAAGATCATGTCAACATACTGCAGTAGGCGCTACTTTGGTTATTTGACGAGACGCTGTCAACATACTGACAATACCCTGTCAACAAATTGTCGTAGGCCAATACACTGGTTATCTGAAAATACCCTGTCAACAAACTGTAGTAGGCCGATACTCTGGTTATCTGACAAGATCCTGTCAACATACTGCTGGAGGCCGACACTCTTGTTATCTGACAAGACCCTGTCAACATACTGTAGTAGGCCGATACTCTGATTATCTGACCGGTCCCGGTCAACATACTGTAGTATGCTTGTTACGGATACAGGTATCCTGTGTCTTTTTGTGTTTTTTCTCTCCTTCTGCCCTAATCACAGGTGTCCTGTATGTTCCTGATTGGTGGTCGTTGGGGTGTCTGCTGATTGCTGAGGTGGACCAATCAGTGGACATTCCTCTGCATTGCACCACCTGTTTCTGGTTTTTCAATCACATATCCCATTGTTTAAAAGCCGGTCAGTTGTGTTTGTTGTTAGAGACTATTTCCGTATGTGAGTATGGATACTGTGTTTTGTGTACTCACTAATTTGCTGGTTACTCTGTTTGGTAACTTTGTTAGGCTATTTTCTGTATGTGAGTATGGATACTGTGGTGTCCTGTGTTTTGTGTACTCACTCATTTGCTGGTTACTCTGTTTGGTAACTTTGTGTGTTTCTGGGAAAAGAGGAATTTAAGCAAGTTGCCCTTGGGCGTACATTACCCGTAGGAAGAATATTGTCTAAAAACACTAGTTAGACCTGAGCGGACCACCCACTGTAATTTTTGTATGATTAGCAGTAGCTTAGCGGTTCTTGAGGCAGGCAAGATCAGTTTAGGGGTGTTTTACACTATTGTTTCATTTCTTGGGTCCTGCTCAGTCCTTTTTCCCAAACCTTTACCGTGTGTTCAAAAATAAACCTTTTATGTTTGACGGTAGTTTATGGTTGTCGTGTAGTTTTTGTTCTCACTGTTCCATGTCACGATTCTAATTTGCATGAATTATGTTACGGGTCTCTTGTCCATCCACCCTAGACGTTTAAAGCCACGGGGTTCGTAACATCATGTGGGGGTTCGTCCCGGGATCATTCTCATTGATACCCATGCTACTCATGCAAATTAGTTAGTGTCTGGTTCAGTGTTGAGCTTGGCAGCTGTAGTACTGGTTTTGTTTTCAGTATTCGTCGGCTCGTGTTGCTAGTTTAGGATGGCTACTTTTGAGTTGGATGCATTTTTGGAAAACCCTTCGTGGGAGGTTTTTGAGAATTGCCGTAGAGTGGATCTACAGGCTTTGGCTGACCACTTTTCTGTACCCATATCAAGGGTTTTAGTGAAAGCAGAAGTTAGGAAAGCAGTGTTAGAGATATTATTGAACGAACGAGTGCTTGAATTACCGCCGCCTGACCCTGCTGCTCCTGTAGGGGATGTGGTTGCTGCTCCTGTAAGCCCGTCGGTGTCTGAGGACGAGGCTAAGGCTCCAGCCACTTTGCCCCGTTTTGACCCACTCTCCCCACTGTCTGACAGTGATGCCAGGATGGATGTCCGCTCGACACGGCTCCAAATGGAGGCGGAAGAGCGGGCACAGATCAGGCAAGACAAGCTGGAAATGCGTAAGCTAGAGGCAGAACAGGAGACGCGTAAGCTAGAGGCAGAACAGGAGACGCGTAAGCTAGAGGCAGAACAGGAGACGCGTAAGCTAGAGGCAGAACAGGAGACGCGTAAGATGGAACTGGAGACGCGTAGGCTTGATCAAGAACTGGAGACGCGTAGGCTTGATCAAGAACTGGAGATGCGTAAAATGGAACTGGAGGCAGAAACAGCGAGGTTAGTCTCTGCTCATACTATACCTGCTAGTGAGCCATCCTCACCAGCTGTGTCGTCTGCTACTTTTGATATTAGTAGACAGATCACCTTGGTATCTGTGTTTAGGGAGTCAGAGGTTGATTCCTATTTCAGTGTTTTTGAACGTATTGCGGTAGCATTGAAATGGCCCGAAGAGGTATGGTGCCTATTACTTCAGTGTAAATTAACAGGTAAAGCCCAAGAGGTTCTGTCAGCGCTACCTCTTGAAGACAGCTTGAATTATGACGTGGTCAAAGCTACTGTTCTTCGTGCCTGTGAGCTTGTTCCTGAGGCATATCGACAGAGATTTAGGTCTCATAAAAAGTATCCTACTCAGACTTATGTGGAGTTTGCTAGAGACAAAGGAAATCTGTTTGACAAATGGCATAGTGCTAGTAAAGTAACTGATTTTAACTCTCTACGGGAGTTAATCTTGTTAGACGAGTTTAAAAATTGCTTACCCGAACGCATTGTAGTTTATCTGAACGAACAGAAAGTATCCTCACTGTCGGAAGCATCTGTATTGGCAGACGAGTTTGTGTTGACGCATAAGAGCGTGTTTTCGGCTCGTACGGAGAGCAGGGCCGCAGAGTTGCTAACTTTTAGTCCTAGTCGACCAGCAGTACATCCAGCACGCCCAAAAGATGTGCGTCACTGTTTCTATTGTCATAAGGTGGGACATATGGTTAATGATTGCTTTCTGCTAAAACGCAAACACGGGATGCCTCAGCACGCCAGGCCGCCAACGGGTGTTGGGCTGATTCGTACGGTTGTAAGGCCGGAATCAAGACAGAGGCCTCATAGTGAATGTGGTTTGAAAGTCCCTGTCCCAGATCACAGTTATGAACCGTTAATTTTTGAGGGGTTTGTTTCCATATCAGATGACGAAGCGTCTCAGCGTCCAGTTAGAATGCTCAGAGATACTGGTGCGGCGCAGTCGTTCATACTATCTGATGTGTTGCCCTTGTCCAATAATACATATTGTGGTTCCAGTGTGTTAGTACAAGGAATTGAAATGGGATTCGTCCCGTGCCATTGCACTTTGTGAACGTACACTCTGAGTTAGTCAGTGGATTGTTCAGAGTTGGAGTACGTCCTATGTTGCCAGTAAAAGGTGTGACATTTATAATGGGCAACGATATTGCCGGAGGAAAGGTGATACCCGTATTGGAGGTATTGGATAAAAGTGACCAGTCTCTCTCCGAGGAGCTGGCACAGGGTTATCCAGATGTGTTCCCCGCTTGTGCTGTCACACGTGCTCAAGCACGACAAGTGGGTGAAGTGATAGATTTGTCGAACACGATTCTATTCAGAGAGTGTGACCCAGAGGATAGTTTGGGTGCTACCTCTGGTAAGCTGGTGCAGTCTGACCAACAGCCCAGAGAAAGGAAGAAGGATGTGGAACTTGTTGCTGAGGCAATACCGTTAGCGGTCACTCGTGAGCAGCTGATCGCTAACCAAAAGGTTGACATTAGCCTGGCTAAATGTTTTTCTAGTGTTGTCTCAGAGGAGGAGCTAAAGAAGAAAAACCTGGCATACTTTATTGATGGTAATCTCCTCATGCGTAAATGGACATCCCATGTTGACGCTGGCGGAGATTGGAATGCTGTTTACCAAATAGTGATTCCTACAGCCTTTCTACAAAATGTTTTATCCCTCGCTCATGATCACCAGTGGTCCGGACATCTGGGAGTCACCAAGACTTATGATCGAGTTTTGCGACATTTCTTTTGGCCTGGTTTAAAACAAGATGTGGCTCAGTTCTGTCGGACTTGCCACACCTGTCAAGTAACTGGGAAACCGAACCAGGTTATTCCTCCCGCGCCTCTTTGTCCCATACCTGCCATAGGTGAACCATTCGAACATGTGATGGTTGATTGTGTTGGACCATTACCAAAGACAAAATCTGGTAACCAGTTTATGTTGACGATTATGTGTGTGGCCACCAGGTACCCAGAGGCCATTCCTCTGCGAAGGATTACTGCTCCGGTGGTGAGTAAAGCGTTGATCAAATTCTTCTCAACTTTTGGGTTACCTAAGGTGATACAAACTGATCAGGGTATGAATTTCCTTTCTAAACTTTTCAAACAAGTGTTCAAATCCTTGTCAGTTACACACCGTGTGTCAAGCGCATATCAACCAGCGTCTCAGGGTGCGCTTGAACGTTGGCATCAGACACTGAAGTCTATGCTCCGTAAATATTGCTTGGAATCTGAGAAGGATTGGGATGAGGGAGTTCCTCTAGTTTTGTTTGCTGTCCGTGAGACAGTACAGGAATCCATAGGGTTCAGCCCAGCTGAACTGGTGTTTGGACACACCATGAGAGGACCTATGAAAGTCCTTAAGGATCAGTTTTTATCACAAGAGTTGTGTGTGAAAGAAAATGTGTTGGACTACGTTAGTCGCTTTCGTGAGTGCCTACATGGTGCCTGTGCTCTAGCAAATGAAGCGCTGTCTTCCTCACAGAGACGGATGAAACGACACTATGACACACAGGCTGTTTCTCGTTAACTGCAGCCAGGTGACCAAGTTCTTGTATTGTTGCCGGTACCAGGAGCGTCATTGTCATCACGTTTCTCTGGTCCTTATGTAATTGAAAAGAAACTAAGTGAAACTGACTACGTGATACAGACTCCTGATAGAAAACGCCAATCTTGTGTGTGCCACGTTAACATGTTGAAGACATGCCACACCAGACCCGTCACTCAGATAGACAGTCCAGAGAAACTGGCCGAGTCGGCTGTCTCTATTGCTGCTACGGCTGTAGTGGGAGGTCATGTTAATGATGTGGACGGAGATGGTTTGGAGTTGCGCAATACTCAGCAGCAGTGTGCTAGATTGCCCAATTCAGAGATGCTGCTGTCTCTCCCGTCAAGCCTGATTCATTTAACGGACGGACAGTCAGATGATATTGTGAGACTATTACACAGCTTTCCATGTCTTTTTAATGATGTTCCTACATGCACAAATGTGTTAGAACATGACATTAATGTTGGAAACGCTGCACCTATCAAGCAACATGCTTATCGTGTCAACGTCTCTAAAAGAAAGATAATGAGGGATGAGGTCGGTTATTTGCTGGAGAATAACCTGGCTATGCCAAGTTCAAGTCCTTGGAGTTCTCCGTGTATTCTGGTTCCTAAACCTGATGGGACATCTAGGTTATGTACGGACTATCGGAAGGTAAATGCTGTCACAGTGCCCGACTCGTTCCCGTTACCCAGACTGGATGACTGTATTGATACTGTTGGTGCTGCTACGTATGTAACCAAACTAGATCTTCTAAAAGGTTACTGGCAGGTGCCGTTAACCTCACGTGCCTCCGACATCTCTGCCTTTGTGACCCCAGATCACTTCCTACAATATGCTGTCATGGCATTTGGGATGCGGAACGCACCAGCCACTTTCCAACGCCTGGTTAACACAGTATTGGCTGGAGTTCCTGATTGTAGTGCTTACCTTGATTTGGGAAGGCCACTGTTACTTATCTCGGTAAACAGGTCGGCCCATGGTCAGGTGCGCCCTGTAGATGCCAAGGTCTCAGCTATAAATGCATTTCCCGCACCTACCACCAGAAGAGAGCTACGCCGCTTTTTAGGGATGGTTGGCTACTACAGTAGTTTCTGTAAAAATGTATCTGCGGTAGTTGCTCCATTAACGGATTTGCTCAGTCCGGCGAGAAAATTTGTATGGTCTGAAGATTGTAGTACTGCTTTCAACACTGCTAAAGCACTCTTATGTAGTACTCCTGTTCTTGCTGCGCCAGATTTTGAACGACCGTTTAAACTGGAGGTAGATGCAAGTGCCAGAGGTTCTGGTGTTGTTCTACTACAGCAGGACCAGAGTGGAGTGGACCATCCTGTCTGTTATTTTTCACGGAAATTTAACAAATGTCAGACAAACTATTCCACCATTGAACAAGAAGCTCTAGCTTTGTTGTTAGCTCTGCAGTACTTTGAAGTTTATGTTGGTTCCAGTACATTACCAGTGATAGTGTACACTGACCATAACCCCTTAGTTTTTCTCCACCGGATGTAAAACCAGAACCAACGCCTTATGCGTTGGGCACTTGTAGTGCAAAATTATCATTTGGAGATCCACCACAAAAAGGGGTCGGATAATGTGTTGGCAGATGCTTTTCCTCGTGTTTAAAGATCTAGTTTTTTGTTTTGTTATCCCGTCAGGATGCTGTTGATCTTTGAATTTTGGGTGTTGTGATGGTACGTGTGTCGCAAACCATTGTGGTTTGCTCTTTTAAGGGTGGGAGTGTTACGGATACAGGTATCCTGTGTCTTTTTGTGTTTTTTTTCTCTCCTTCTGCCCTAATCACAGGTGTCCTGTATGTTCCTGATTGGTGGTCGTTGGGGTGTCTGCTGATTGCTGAGGTGGACCAATCAGTGGACATTCCTCTGCATTGCACCACCTGTTTCTGGTTTTTCAATCACACATCCCATTGTTTAAAAGCCGGTCAGTTGTGTTTGTTGTTAGAGACTATTTCCGTATGTGAGTATGGATACTGTGGTGTCCTGTGTTTTGTGTACTCACTCATTTGCTGGTTACTCTGTTTGGTAACTTTGTGTGTTTCTGGGAAAAGGGGAATTTAAGCAAGTTGCCCTTGGGCGTACATTACCCGTAGGAAGAATATTGTCTAAAAACACTAGTTAGACCTGAGCGGACCACCCACTGTAATTTCTGTATGATTAGCTTAGCGGTTCTTGAGGCAGGCAAGATCAGTTTAGGGGTGTTTTACACTATTGTTTCATTTCTTGGTTCCTGCTCAGCCCTTTTTCCCAAACCTTTACCGTGTGTTCAAAAATAAACCTTTTATGTTTGACGGTAGTTTATGGTTGTCGTGTAGTTTTTTTTCTCACTGTTCCATGTCACGATTATAATTTGAATGAATTATGTTACGGGTCTCTTGTCCATCCACCCTAGACGTTTAAAGCCACGGGGATCGTAACAATGCTGATACTCTGGTTATCTGACAAGATCCTGTCAACATACTGTCGTAGGTCGATACTCTGGTTATCTGACAAGATCCTGTCAATATACTGTCGTAGGCTGATACTCTGGTTATCTAACCAATTCCTGTCAACATACTGTCGTAGGCTGACACCCTGGTTATCTGACAAGATCCTGTCATTATACTGTAGTAGGCCGATACTCTGGTTACCTGACACGATCCTGTCAACATACTGTCGTAGGCTGACACCCTGGTTATCTGACAAGAACCTGTCAACATACTGTCGTAGGCAGATACTCTGGTTATCTGACAAGATCCTGTCAACATACTGCTGGAGGCCGACACTCTGGTTATCTGACAAGACCCTGTCAACATACTGTAGTAGGCCGACACCCTGGTTATCTGACAAGATCCTGTCAACATACTGTCGTAGGCCAATACTCTGGTTATCTGACAAAATCCTGTCAACATACTGTCGTAGGCCGATACTCTGGTTATCTGACAAGATCCTGTCAACATACTGTCGTAGGACAATACTCTGGTTATCTGACAAGATCTTGGCAACATACTGTAGTAGGCCGACACCCTGGTTATCTGACAAGATCTTGTCAACATACTGTAGTAAGCCGATACTATGATTATCTGACCAGTCTCGGTCAACATACTGTAGTAGGCCGACACCCTGGTTATCTGACAATATCCTGTCAACATACTGTAGTAGGCCGGCACACCCTGGTTATCTGACAAGATCCTGTCAACATACTGTCGTAGGCCGATACTCTGGTTGTCTAACAAATTCCTGTAAACATACTGTCGTAGGCCGATACTCTGGTTATCTGACAAGAACCTGTCAATATACTGTCGTAGGACGATACTCTGGTTATCTGACAAGAACCTGTCAATATACTGTCGTAGGACGATACTCTGGTTATCTGACAAGACCCTGTCAACATACTGTCGTATGCCAATACACTGGTTATCTGACAAGATTCCTGTCAACATACTGTCGTAGGCCGATACTCTGGTTATCTGACAAGACCCTGTCAACATACTGTAGTAGGCCAACACCCTGGTTATCTGACAAGATCCTGTCAACATACTGTCGTAGGCCGATACTCTGGTTATCTGACAAGATCTTGTCAACATACTGTCGTAGGCCGATACTCTGGTTATCTGACTAGATCCTGTCAACATACTGTAGTAGGCCAATACTATGATTATCTGACAAGCCCCGGTCAACATACTGTCGTAGGTCGATACTCTGGTTATCTGACAAAAAATCCTGTCAACATACTGTCGTAGGCCGATACTCTGGTTATCTGACAAGATCCTGTCAACATACTGTCGTAGGCCGATACTCTGGTTGTCTAACAAATTCCTGTCAACATACTGTCGTAGGCCGATACTCTGGTTATCTGACAAGAACCTGTCAATATACTGTCGTAGGACGATACTCTGGTTATCTGACAAGAACCTGTCAATATACTGTCGTAGGTCGATACTCTGGTTATCTGACAAGATCTTGTCAACATACTGTCGTAGGCCGATACTCTGGTTATCTGACTAGATCCTGTCAACATACTGTAGTAGGCCAATACTATGATTATCTGACAAGCCCCGGTCAACATACTGTAGTAGGTCGATACTCTGGTTATCTGACAAAAAATCCTGTCAACATACTGTCGTAGGCCGATACTCTGGTTATCTGACAAGATCCTGTCAACATACTGTCGTAGGCCGATACTCTGGTATCTAACAAATTCCTGTCAACATACTGTCATAGGCCGATACTCTGGTTATCTGACAAGAACCTGTCAATATACTGTCGTAGGACGATACTCTGGTTATCTGACAAGAACCTGTCAATATACTGTCGTAGGACGATACTCTGGTTGTCTAACTAATTCCTGTCAACATACTGTCGTAGGCCGATACTCTGGTTATCTGACAAGAACCTGTCAACATACTGTCGTAGGACGATACTCTGGTTATCTGACAAGATCCTGTCAACATACTGTCGTATGCCAATACACTGGTTATCTGACAAGATTCTGTCAACATACTGTCGTAGGCCGATACTCTGGTTATCTGACAAGATCCTGTCAACATACTGTCGTAGGCCGATACTCTGGTTATCTGACAAGATCCTGTCAACATACTGTCGTAGGCCGATACTCTGGTTTTCTGACAAGATCCTGTCAACATACTGTCGTAGGCCAATACTCTGGTTATCTGACAAGATCCTGTCAACATACTGTCGTAGGCCGATACTCTGGTTATCTGACAAGATCCTGTCAACATACTGTCGTAGGCCGATACTCTGGTTATCTGACAAGATCCTGTCAATATACTGTCGTAGGCCGATACTCTGGTTATCTGACAAGATCCTGTCAACATACTGTCGTAGGACAATACTCTGGTTATCTGACAAGATCTTGGCAAGATACTGTAGTAGGCCGACACCCTGGTTATCTGACAAGATCTTGTCAACATACTGTAGTAGGCCGATACTATGATTATCTGACCAGTCCCGGTCAACATACTGTAGTAGGCCGACACCCTGGTTATCTGACAAGATCCTGTCAACATACTGTTGGAGGCCGACACCCTGGTTATCTGACAAGATCCTGTCAACATACTGTCGTAGGCCGATACTCTGGTTATCTGACAAGATCCTGTCAACATACTGTCGTAGGCCGATACTCTGGTTATCTGACAAAATCATGTCAACATACTGTCGTAGGCCGATACTCTGGTTATCTGACAAGATCCTGTCAACATACTGTCGTAGGCCGATACTCTGGTTATCTGACAAGATCCTGTCAACATACTGTCGTAGGCCGATACCCTGGTTATCTGACAAGATCCTGTCAACAGTATAGGTCCTATAGGGCCAGACCAGACATAATGGATAGAAGAGCTGTCTACAGCATTAACAGTATAAGACCAGACCAGACTAATGGATAGAAGAGCTGTCTACAGTATCAACAGTATAGGGCCAGACCAGACTAATGGATAGAAGAGCTGTCTACAGCATCAACAGTATAGGACCAGAGCAGACTACCTATCTATAGGACCTGGTAAACAGACCATGTCTCACCTCCTCTGCTGTCAGTGGCATACTATGAAGATATAGTAGCCCCTGTGCTCATTCTATCCTTGGACATGCTGACCTGACCACCACCTCTGCTGACCATCTAGCTATGAGCGTCCAGATTCTCTCATGACCACGGCTGCCCATCTGGAGGCTTCAAGAAGTGTTGTAACATATATTTATTTATGAATTACTTATTGTTGTTTATTTTGCTGTGACTGGGATTTATAGCCTAGTAAACAGATCTCACCTCCTCTATGGTTAGGTGAATATAGTATATTACCAGGGTAAGCACTGTGACTAGGATTATAGCCTAGTAAACAGATCTCACCTCCTCTATGGTTAGGGGAATACATATGCGGTACTCCTCAGCTCTCTCTCTCTCTCTCTCTGTCACAGCTCTCCCTCCTCAGAGACAGGTTACCGGCCAGATCACCATTACCATATCACCTGGAAACACACCGACACAATCATCATCACTGGAACCACACAGACACAATCATCATCACTGGAACCACACAGACACAATCATCATCACTGGAACCATACAGACACAATCATCATCACTGGAACCACACAGACACAATCATCATCACTGGAACCACACAGACATAATCATCATCACTGGAACCATACAGACACAAACATCATCACTGGAGGAACCATACATACACAATCATCATCATTGGAACCATACAGACACAATCATCATCACTGGAACCATACAGACACAATCATCATCACTGGAACCACACAGACACTATCATCATCACTGGAACCACACAGACACAAGCTTCAAACATCAAACAATATTCTTGCATTGTGTACACATTCAGACTAGTTTCCATTGTTTGCAATATGTCTGTTATTTATTTTATTTGTTATTCTGTCTGTATACTACAAAATGAAAGTAAGTAGGGTACTTGTCTTTATTTAAAGTCAGTTTTATGTCAATTATAATTTGAATAGGTAAATGTTATAGTATAGACCATATAGCTAGTTGAATGGATTAGCCTGCTGGATAACCTTTTTAAGAATGTCGAATGTACAATCCTAGGCCTACATTTTCTTTAGATTACAGATAGCTCGTATGAACGTTAGTTTGACAACGTATCTAACTAGCCTATGCACGAAAGCTTATGACACGTGGAACACCATAACAAGTATTACAAAACTGCTGAAAAGTTATATTGTCAAAGTACAAATAGGTCGACTTATTTTACCCGCGCTCGACAGAAAGCACATAAATTAGGGTTACCAAGTTCCAAAGTAGGCTAACTAACTAACACGTATTGCTACAACTATAAGAGTGTCTCAGATAAAGATAACATCTGCAAGTCTTACCTTGATCCTTCACTGAAAAGTGTATATCGTGATTTGCCGTTGCTGAGAGTCACAATAAGCACAACATTATCCCGCGCTGCGCACCCTTTTCTTTCTAAAACAAAAAACGGACTTTTTTAGACTCTGAATTAGAAGGGCAACTGATTGGCTTGTTGTAGCTGAGAGTATCATATGTTCAGCGTGGTTCTGTGTAGTAGACCAATCAATCAATCAATCAAATTTGATTTATAAAGCCCTTTTTACATCAGCAGATGTCACAAAGTGCTATACAGAAACCCAGGCTGAAACCCCAAACAGCAAGCAATGCAGATGTAGAAGCACTGTGGCTAGGAAAAACTCCCTAGAAAGGCAGAAACCTAGGAAGAAACCTAGAGAGGAACCAGGCTCTGAGGGGTGGCCAGTCCCCTTCTGGCTGTGCCGGGTGGACATTATAACAGTACATGGCCATTAAGGCCAGATTTTTCTCCAAGATGTTCAAACGTTCATAGATGACCAGCAGGGTCAAATAATAATCACAGTGGTTGTAGAGGTTGCAACAGGTCAGTACATCATAGCCGGGCATTTAGAGGTTGAAATAGCAGGTGCGGTAGAGGGAGAGAGTTGAAAACAGCAGGTCTGGGACAAGGTAGCACGTCCGGTGAACAGGTCAGGGTTCCATAGCCGCAGGCAGAAGAGTGGAAACTGGAGCAGCAGCACGACCAGGTGGACTGAGTACAGCAAGGAGTCATCAGGCCAGGTAGTCCTGAGGCATGGTCCTAGGGCTCAGGTCCTCCGGGAGGGGAGGGAGAGGGACAACTGTAACATTAATATAAAACTGAACAATATTAGTCCAAATCAATTAGGTTACCACTTAATAAATAGCCTTGATTATTTGTGTAATTTTTTCTAGGATATCGGCATTTACAGTATTTTCAAAGAGGGTAGGCCTAGATCAAATCAAAGTTTATTTGAATACAACTAGTGTAACGATACAGTGAAATGCTTGCTTGCAGTTCTTCAACAGTGCAGGGCCCGGTTTCCCAAAAGCATCTTAAGGCAAAGTTCATCGTTAGAACAGTTCAATCTCCGAACTGTTTCCCAAAACCATGGTTATTGACGTTGGACTTGAAAACTATTGTTATTTACCGACTGCTTCAGACCAGTCGTAGAACAGCCAAGTGCCCTCCCGCGTCACTTTATTGGCACACATAGAAGATCTCCGCTAAACACAGAATCACAAAGTTTATCCGTCTACCTGTGACCTCCGATAACTTCAGAACAAAGTTCACTACAAATACAAAGTTGCCAATGTCTTTGCAATTGATACAAACAAGTGACATAAAAAAAGATGCTTCAAATGAAAACCGAGATGACTGCATTAAAATATGAATAAGTTGGCAATATTCCTATTTCAATCATAGCCTAATGAAATACATGTAATGTTCAATCAATTTAGTTGTATTTTGCTACTTGTAGGCTACTGTCTGTAATTTGTCTCAATATATTTCATGATGTGTAGCCTAACGTGCGCATTCACTTGCCAAATCGGTGATTTAGTGCATTTTTATTGGGTAAGCGTTAGAAAAAGCTGCCTCAATAATTGCAGGTGGTAATATTTCTCTAGCAGCTGATCCGTCGTCAATATTGTGAAATAATTATAATGTTAAGGTAAGATATGATTGGAGAAAGCTGATTCGAGAGCCGCGCTCCATTTCTTTTGATCAGATCAGTATCGACACACGCTCCAACGACGCACTTAGCGACCATTCTCTCTGCGTGGTGATTTGGGAAACACGTTACATTTTCGGCAGTTGTATAAAAAGATGCATCATCAGCCTAAATTCCATCGCTATCGGGAAACTGGGCCCAGAATAAATGTAAAGTAGCAAAGCTATCAATATCCTCCTGAGACCCGAAAAATACATGTTTGGGATTCTCTTTTTTTTTTCAGAACATAACTGTTTGGGATTTAAAAAAACATGGTACCATAACATGTGTTTGGGGTGAAAAATAAAACATGTTACCAAGAAACAAATATTGTTATGTATATTTTATTGTATATGCAAAATGGTCCTCTGTAGTGGTCATTAGCACGCACCTATGAAAACATTAACATCACAGTCAATAGGTACAGTAGGTGAAAAACATTAACATCACAGTCAATAGGTATAGTAGGTTAAAAACATTAACATCACAGTCAATAGGTACAGTAGGTGAAAACATTAACATCACAGTCAATAGGTACAGTAGGTTAAAAACATTAACATCACAGTCAATAGGTACAGTAGGTTAAACATTAACATCACAGTCAATAGGTACAGTAGGTTAAAAACATTAACATCACAGTCAATAGGTACAGTAGGTGAAACATTAACATGATTACACACACGTCTTTTGACATTTACATAAAATGTGCTAATTTTGACAGCAGACTTTTTTTTAACAATCAGGAAGATACAGTTGTCAAGGTCACACCCCCACACATTGGATGTCCTCCCAACGGGACAACAGGACTTAATACAGTGGCTTGTATGACCTCAGAGAGAAGGACCAAGAACGACATTACTGAATGTAGACAAACAAAGTAGATCAATAAGAGATGGTTATGGTTTCCCTCAGATTGGAACCTGTGACATCGCAATTCAACCACAAGATGGTAGTCTTGTGCCACAAATACCATCACTGACTGAGTGATCGGTAAGAAAACATCAAATATACTTTTCAGTGGATGAAGCATGCTCTCTATTCATTGAAAACGTGGACCAAAACACACTTTAAAAATATGCTGCACTTCAGTGATTTTTCCACAAATCCAATGCAAGTCAATGGTACCTACAGTATATAAGAAGTTTGTATCCAAATAATCTAAAGTAACATACATGAGTGACACAATACATTTTTAGATACTTTAGGATGATTGAGTGAAAATGCTAATATAGGTACCATTGACTTGCATTGGATTTGTTCCACAAATGCTAAAACGTTAGCATTTGAAACAGTGGCCAGGTAAACAAAACCAAAGCATGGATTGCTGTCGTACCTGGTCCATACACTGCTTACAGGGTAAGGAAACCAATATGTCATTTTGTAATTTGGGTGAACTCTCCCTTTAACATTGAGGGGGGGGGGGGGTATTTTTTTTTAAATCACCTAATAACAGGAACAGCACCATCTAGTGGTCAGAACCTGGTAATATCAGGATGTAGGGTGGGACATAAATCTAGCAACTTCAATGACTAATTTGTCTGTACATGGGGGGGGCGGACATTGCCAAATTCACTGAGAATGCATTACATAGGGTGAAGAAACAATACTCCAAGCTGCAGCTCCATACTACTTGTCAGACATAGAGAACTGATGCTGTATACTAGTTATTTCTTGAATAGTATATGAATCCTATAATTTAAAATGTCAAATTTGGGTGCAATCAATTAGTTTCATTTCTCAGAGATTGCAGGAATGCTA